GCGTTAGATTACCACGCGCTGGATTATTACGCGTTGGATTACTACGCGCTGGTTTTGCTACGCGTTAGATTCCTACGCGTAGAATTACCGCGCGTTGCATTACTACGCGGTGCATTACTACGCGTTGAATATCCACGTGCTCGATTACTACGCGTTGGATATCCACGCGCTGAGTTACTACGTTTACTTGATTTACTTTATACTATTCTTCATGTTCTTATGCTATATTTTACGCTATACAGAGTTGGCTAATTATGCGTTAGATTACTACGCGTTGGATTACTACGCGTTGGATTACTACGCGTTGGATATCCACACGCTGGATTACTACGCGTTGTATATCCACGCGCTGGATTACTACACGTTGGATATCCACACGATGAGTTACTACGCGTTGGATTACTACGCATTGGATTACCACACGTTGCATTACTACACGTAGAATTACCATGCGTTGCATTACTACTCGTTGGATTACCACGCGTTGTATAGCTACGCGTTATTCGAAGCTGTCGCTCTTGCGTCTGCGCATGCGTAATCCTCGCGCTCTGATTGGTCCGCGTTTTTCCGTAATAATTCAAAAACGAAGCTTCAAAGATCATTTTTGCAAAGGGAAATCTTATTCAGAATCACGTCAGCTACCCCCTTTTTCAGGGACTGACACTTGTTGCGAGACACCCCGTATCTTTAATAAATTAAAACAATTATCAAAATATTAACGTTCTAAGTATGTAAATTTCATAATCTCTAGATATTTATGTTAAAACTTGAAACAAATGTTCAAACTTGTAAAATGTAAAATTTCTATATTGCTGAATTTCCTAATTTTCATATCCTCAAGCTTATAAAATTAAAAATTGTTGAATTTCTACATTTTTTAATTTACTTTCAAATCTTGAAACTTGCAAAATTTGTAATTTATAAATTTGTGAATTCTCGTATTTCCACAATTCTAACATAGTCATATTATATTAATATTACATTCTACTGTGTACATCGGAAACACCCTGTATAGCGGGGTACACTAAAATGTAACATGGCAGAAATAAGAGAATATCAAAGTTATGCCGCAATTTTTTTGTTACAACTAAAATCGAGATTCTCTAATCTGATTATAATTAATATGATGATTTGATGATGTTACGCTGCAAAATGCTGTTTATATTTATATGTAGAATACTTTAAAATTAGGCACTAAATCTTTATGTTGTCAAAAGAACCCTGGTAAAAATAAGCACATACACATTTTTAAATCTAGAAGAATTAGAAGAAAACAATATCGCTAAATGAATTTAACAACTATTGTATAAAAAGTCAAAAAATTAATTGTGGAGAAATGATTCAACTTAAAGAATTTGAAGTTAAAATTGGAAAGTCTTTTGACACCTTTTGGTAGAAATAGTGTTAACTAATTTTAATTTAATCTTATTACTAATTTGATATTCTATTTTTAAAAATATTTTGTTTCCGTTATTTTATTTTTAGTGGTATATAAACCACAGTTGCTATTTGATATTAGCAAAAATTAGCTCGTATATACCACGCCTCTGTTTAAGCATGTGGTTTATAAACCACATTCGCAGTTAAAGGGTTAAGAAAAATAAGGTTTGGTATATTCGTTACACAACAATTTAGAATTACAGCTGCAGTACGTTATTTAAGTATGTTAACATAGGGTGCACGGATTGAACAATATTTTTATTGCCTAATATCACGGCAATTTTCACTATGCTTAGCAATTTGTACATTTAATTAGTTTATATGTAGTCTGAAAATTCATTTGGTTTTATATTGGCAATTATTATTAGGGGATAAGGGAGATTGTCTCACCCCCTGAAAATTTAGTATATGGTGTTAGAAAAATCTTCTCAAAGAGCTTAAAATTTAAGGGGTTGTTCGAAGCAATTTTCTGAGGGTATATTGCTTTATTATTGACTTTAAATGACAATTTCAGTTTATGAGTGTTACGAAAGAATCGCATTCTAGTTATTAATATTTTTATTAAATAATGCACGTATTATTTGTACAATATAAGCAATATATAAATTGCAATATTTGATATGAATAAAATTTCAGTACAAAGAAAAACAAATGTAAAAAATGTCAAAATGTGGAAAAGTTAAAATATTGAAAGAAGCAATTTTATTTTACGATGAAATTTCATCTGCAAAAGTAACGAAGACGCTGCTACCATAAAATAAGAGAAGAAATGCGACAGAGAGATAACGCACACAAAAATTGGATTTTTATTATCCTCTTAGGTGCAATGCTTAAATATGTTACACGGAACGGTAGCATGAGAATAAAATTCCTAAATGTATTAGGATATCGAACAAAGATATTATATTAGAAACTGAACACGATATTTCGAACGAAAAGAAAATTGAAATGAGCTTGAAAATTTATGAATAGAATAATGTTAAAAGTTAAAAATGGCAAATAAGCTTCAAAATTATAAATGAAACTAAGCTAGAAAATCGAAAGTTGTAATAAGCTTGAAAATTGAAGATTGTAATGAGATTGAAAATTATAAATTGAAATGAAGTTGATAATTAAAAACTGCAATAAGCTTAAAAATTAGGAATCGAAATAAGCTGGAAAATTAAGAATTGTAATAAGCTTAAATATTAAAACAGGAAATAAGCTTAAAAATTAAAAACTCTAATAAGCTTGAAGATATAAGATTGTAATAACCTTGAAAATTTTAAATTGAAATAAGTATAAAAATTTAACAATTGCAATAAGCTTGAAAATCATAAATTGAAATAAGCTTGAAAATTAAAAATTGAAATAAGCAGAAAAATTTAAGAATTGCAATAAGCTTGAAAATTAAAAATTGAAATAAGCTTGAAAATTAAAAATGAAAATTAAAAATTTTCAAGCTAATAATCTTTAAGATATAAAATTGTAGTAACCTTGAAAATTAAAAATTGAAATAAGCTTGAAAATTATAATTTAAAATAAGCTTAAAAATTAAAGATTGAAATAAGCTTGAAGATACAAAATTGAAATAAGCTTGAAAATATAAAATTGTAATAATCTTGAAAATTTAAAATTGAAATAAGCTTCAAAATGAAAAGCTGAAATTAGCTTGAAAATTAAAACCTGAAATATGCTTGAAAATAATTAAAAATTTGAAATGAGTTAAACAAAAAACACCGTGCACAATGTGTTAACATAAAAAGAGACTATGATAACGTGTGCAATCTAAAACTCATTCTCACAACAACAAAAGTAGAATATTATTAATACTTAATTAAAAACTTCGAAACACATAATTTTCACAGTATACATCGTCGTATTTATTTCATAGAATAGAATACACACAAGCTGCGAAATATTTATATAAACATTTTATCGATGTTTCTTTTTTGATTGACGTCACTTCGATGCACAGTTTTATCGCCATTTTTCTTTTTTAAATAAACAACATGTAGTTTGGCACACGAAATTTGAGAGCACACATTAACGGTAGATCTAGTTACAACAGCTAAGTTCTGAACAAATACGAATACCACATTAACTTTGATCTCGTTGAGATATTAGACGCGTTTAGTAAATTTTCTTCAGTTGCGTGGATTAATAAGCACAGCGTGTACTTCACCTTCACAAATTACACTCGGTGGACACAGAAGCATCGCTGCTAATCACCGCTACTGTAAATCAAGGTCAGTCTCCGCACAATTTATAATTTATTGTAATAAAAAATAACATCCGATAATCAATATCAGATGTGTGAAACGTACAGTATTTTACTCTTTGAAAATACAAGTATAATGGTAAAAAGTGGTCGATATTTTAAATTCAACAAAAGAGAAAATTTCCTTCAAGTATTCCTGTTTGACAGTCATTTTTTATGCACTCTTTGTAAATTTATTTAATAAAAATTAATAACTAAGTATTCTTTAATTGAGATTTCAATTATAATTGAACGATTTTCTAATTGAAAATTGAGGTTTAATTGAATGATTTTCTAACTGAAAATTGAAGTTTAATTAAATGATTTCCTGATAGAAAATTGAAGTTTAATTCTTAATTCAAATTTTCCAAATTAAACATTAAAAATTATTTAATCAAAGACTTTTCGATTAATAATAGTGTTTAATATTCCGAATGAAGTATAATGTTTATAATATTAAAAATATTACGAATATTATTTTTCGAACATTTACATAATATGACAATACTTTTAGCAGCTTCGTAAAAAATAAATTATGCAATTTATTCATAATATATTTAATATTTTAAAAGAATTTCTACATTTTTTACCATTATACTTTTGTTTAAAAGCACATTACAAAGAAATATAATATACGCATTTTATTCGTCACGTATAATTTTTGTGTATGAAATAATTATATTTTATTGGTTTACTAATGCACAATGCAAATAAATATCTGGTATCAATATATTTAATAGCATAATTATTATCCATGTGCAAAAAGTAATGTGATTATCTTTTATAGAATTAACTGTATAAAACATATGGTAAATTCAATATGGAGCAGAAATGATTTCCTTATACTACTTGCGAACCTCTAATTTCGTTATTCATTCATTTCGTACAGATTATTCAAACTAAAAATGCATGTGTACGACTCTTCATTGAAAACTAGATTAATAATTCAGATAAAAATTATAAAAAAGAATACAGCTTTGTATGTCACAAAGTAATTACTAAAACTTGATAAAATTTAAAACTTGATCACATTCCATACTTAAACAATTTCATACTCTCAAAATTCATATCTTATTATAATTTTACATTACCTTTTACAATTCTTACTTAATTTTTTTGCGGAAAATAACAGAAGATTTAAATTAAACATTCTTTCACTTGTCCCAAATTACAAATTAAAAAGCATGCTTTTATTCTTTTCAATCATTCCATATTTTCATAGATTAACTTTCATTACATAAATATTGTAAAATATAGAAAGTGTTTCATATTAACGTTTATTAGTGTTTCATTCATATCAACATCGATTTGTATCTTACAGGTTGAAAATGACGAAGAAATCAATGCTCCCGAACAAACGAAAGATGACTCGCCACAACCACCGCCAAGTACTCCAACAAAGGTCCAGAACCTATCATCGTCCTCCATAGTAACTCCTAGAGCAGTCAGAAGTGGTTTGGCAAAATCCCCAGAAGCAGGACCTAAAAAAAGTCTGATCTCTCAAGAAACGGAAGCAGAAATGGGGGGCAAGAGTCCAAATGTGGAGGATAGAAATACAACAAAATCACCTGGTACTCCACGTTCCCCTAACAGTCCTCAATTAAAAAGTCCAGAAGACAAAACAGCAAAATCACCCGGCACTCCGTGTTCTCCTAACAGTCCTCAATTCAAAAGTCCAGAAGACAAAACAGTAAAGTCACCCAGTACTCCGCGTTCCCCTAACAGTCCTCAATTAAAAAGTCCAGAAGACAAAACAGCAATATCACCCGGCACTCCGCGTTCTCCTAACAGTCCTCAATTGACAAGTCCAGAAGAGAAAGCAGCAAAATCGCCAGTTTCTCCACATTCTCCCCAATCGAAGACTCCGGACGACCAATCAGCAAAATCACCCAGAACTCCACGTTCCCCTAACAGTCGATTAAAAAATCCAGAGGATAGAACAGTAAAGTCACCTTCTCCGAGTAATTCTCAGTCAAAGATTCCAGAAGATAAAACTGCAAAATCATCTGGATCACGGTCTCCTAACATTCCTCGATTGAAAAGTGCAGAAGATAAACCTGTATCTCCACATTCTCCAAATAATACTCAAGAAAGTCCAGAAGATAAACCAGCAAAACCTAGTCCACGTTCTCCTAACACTCGATTAAAAAGTGCAGAAGATAAACCTGTATCTCCACATTCTCCAAATAATACTCAAGAAAGTCCAGAAGATAAACCAGCAAAACCTGGTCTACGTTCTCCTAACACTCGATTAAAAAGTGCAGAGGACAGAGCATCAAAATCGCCTGTTTCTCCGCGGTCTCCTAATAGTCCGCAATTGAGTCCAGATAAAGTGTCTCCTCGTTCCACTGGGAAATCGTCTGCGAAAGAATTGCGACTACCAAAATTGGCACCTTCTCCTACTCCGCAGGAGCCTATCTCAGCCCCAGAAGCGCATTCTAAGCTGAGTTTACCAAAACTTAGCGTTGCACATTAATTAATTGAGAGAATAATACCTTAGCGGTTGCACTTGATGCACACAGCGGACTTCGGGTCAATTTGAAACCCAGGAATCTTAATAACAATCAGAATTTTTCTTTGAAGGCTAAGTTAATTGAAAGTGGTTAGAAAATTATGGTACACACTCGGTTATACTATGTGTGTCCAACAAGAAGTCTTCTGAGTGAAATGCAAGGATTAATCGAAATGAAAGGGTAATTTCAAACGATGTAGTGTTTAAACTACTACATAACAATGATTGTTTAAATTACTGTGTACAGTGTTTAAGTTACTAATTTAAGTGGTTACACATAAATATTGATAAAACTTACATAAAATTAACGAGTAGTGTACCTCGCTTAACCCTGAACCTTTTCAGGAGACTTCTTGTAAGATACACTGAGTGGTTTGATAAATTATTTTATTCCATAAAGTCTTTCCCTTATTTAACATTCAGAGACTCATAAAAATTACGTCAATTTGTCAAGAATGTAAAATGAAAATTTAAGCATGGTGTTTTAAAATGTAAAATTATGGAATATGGAGAAAATGACTCTTGCCTATGAGTTGTCTCCCATGACCTCATATTTATACATGTATCTGAGACGATTATCTAGCAATTACTAAATACATATATTTATTCTGTATACCAATTTGCAAAATAATTTTGTACTAATAACGAACGATAGTTTTTGGAACACATTGGACCCAAATTTGGAATTATTTCTAAGGGGCCGCAAAGTTTAGAACTAGTTTATGATTACACTTTTAAAAATTTGAAGATTTAAAAGTACATGTAAAGATTGCAAAATTAACAAATTTGAAGATCTAAAAAAGATTTGAACATTTAAAAATTGATTCATAACATTTAGGTTAGCACAACTAGCAGCTTACTAAGAACCTCAACACTTTGAAGACGAGCTTCGTACTTTTTAGCTTATGCTGTCATTTTTTAGAATTATTTATATTGAAATCTGCTATAATCATAAAATTTGAAGCATATATTATAAACAAAAAATGATTTCTTAGAAAATATCATTCAAGTCAAATATGATAAAGATAATTTCATTATTATGTTTAGTTAACTTATATTTAGTTTACTCATTATCAACTTTTAATATTTTCAATTAATTACAATGAACATTTCATGAACAATATGTATAGATTGATCCCCTATGATAAAATGTAATTTGGCCTTGGGGACTATATTGATATCACATAACCTACAGCACAAATTATCTTATTTTCTATAAATATACAAACACGCAACGGATATTACAACTGGGAATATTTTTCCCAGAAGTAATCTTAGAAGAAAATTATGTTTTATTTATGTTTTCTTCTGTGGTGTATGCATGTTTTTGCAGATATAAACATAATTTATTTCATTTTTAAAAACAGCTAGCTATCCTAGCTTATCTTATCCTAGTTTAAAATAACTAGAACAAAGAATCAACTTTTATAAAAAAAAAAACAAATGGATGGGCCACAGCATCATTACATCCTCTATACGTTTTATTTTTTAAATAGCATACCAATTATATCATAAAATAAAGAAAAAAAAATACATAGATAAGTTAGATGATATTTATTCCCCTAAACTAACACAAACAGAAATATGTTATTTTCAAATGTGAAAATTAATTTGTTTATTGCATACTTTAATACAAATTGTATTTTTACTTCCTTTGAAATATATTTTTTTTTTGGGCCTGGAGTCCGTTAAGTGAGAACTAAATTTACTTTGAGAAGTAAGTAACATTGTTGGAAACTTAAAAATTGCAATTTCTAAATTAATTCCTTTTTCTACATTGTATGAATTTAGAGAACCAATTAGGACACACGTAAAATTGAATTAAGTAGTATGCACTTTATAACAAATAATTTTCACTTGTATTAATGAATGTAGAGCTGCTTCACATAAATATAAATGACTGAAGGAATAATTAAAACGCCATAATGCAAAGAAAGTGATGGCTTGAAACATTTGCAAGCCAACTCCTTTCTAACGAAATTCATTCCGTCGCAACCTCGCATCTTTTACCTCAAAGATGAAATTTTTAAGAAGGTTGAGAGTCTGAGAAATTTTTGTAGTTTATAATTTATTCAATAAATACATAATCTCATGTACACGATGTTTCGTAAATTGTAAATTATGGATAAAAAGTAAGATAAAAGTATCAAACGAAGTATACAAAAAGTATATATCATCATAAGATTTCGCTAAAATCGATTAAATAAAATTAGTTATACAAATTTTGTAAACAAATGATTTGTGTTAAAAACAATTCATTACTTTGTCATTTACTTTCCCTATGCAATTTATGAAATATCTTGCGAACAATCTGATCAAAGAAAAAAATATTGTTATTTTAATTATGTCTGTACACGTATACCAAATATATTATTATGTATAAAACGAGTTTAACAATATGTAAATAGTACATCGTAATTTTACTGCACATAACATCACAAAATACAGTTCTGTTAATTATAATGCAAAATATTGAAAAGTATTATTTTCAACTATAACCTTTGCAATTACTTAATCATATTTCCATCCAAATTGAGATCAAAACCATAAAAAATCTATAAGAATTACGAATATACTATATTTGAGATACGGAATAGTGATAGTTATTAAAAATATAGACATTTCTAAGGTAATAACAATATATGGATAGTTCTTGATGTACATAGCAAAATATATCTTTATTGCATATACATTTTCAATGTGTTAAAATTGGAAGTACGTTTTACTAAGAGATTCCAAAAATATTTGACTGTAATAATTATATTATTGGCAGTTTTGTGCTGTTGTGAAAAAAGTACTATGAAACAAGATAAATTAAAGAACAATACAGAGTAAGTCACGAATTCTGTTCACCTGAAATATTTCTGCTTTTGTTACAGAATAAGAGAATACCCACTGTGTTAAGTTTTATGAGCTCAAAGAATTTATATGTTGTAATAAGTTACACTGCATCCATTGAAAATGTAAATATGATGAACACTTCACAATTAATTTAATTTTTTTAATTAAAATAATTATTCTGTTATAATAAAATTTAAATATATAAATAAATACTGAATTTTGAGAAAAAGTAATCGAAAAGTATCTTGAAGTATTCTTCACACTTACATTTACAAGTAAACCATTGTAACTGTATGTGATTCAAGAAATGATTACAATGTTTGTATTTTCAGTTTTTTTATACTATTCAAAACAGAAATACTTCAAAGGACATATCTTGTGACTTACCCTGTTGATCTACATCAGTTTTTCTTTGGCAGTGGTGGTGGAACTAACGTAACTCCATTAAAATAGGGATGACTTAATCCTTTTTTTGCTGTTATCCTTTGACTGGGATCATAAGTCAGGAGTTTCTGTTAAACGAAGAACAACAAAGTAATCACAACTGCTGTAATCAAAGAAAAACTGAATATGAATTATTATTTTATGAAGTATTATTCTTACCAAAAGTAAGTCTTTGGCATCAGAATCAAAGGAAGGTACAACTTCATCTAAACATCGGGGTTCCCACCTTGGAAACATTGACGTGTAATCACGTAGTTGTGACACTCCTGGCCAAATGCTCTCATCGGGTGTACCTAATGTACGAAATATCCTAAAGAGTTGATCTATTTCTGAATCACCTGGGAACAAAGCTCTTCTGGTTGCCTATGAGAATAATATTACTATTTTCAAAAATTAAAATTATTTATTAATTAGATCATGTTTTAAAATTATTTTTTTTGCATTAAAGTAGTATTTGACAGATGCTTTAGTTCACATACCATCTCTGCAAATATACAACCAAGACTCCAAACATCCACAGCATTAGAATAAAATTTGGTTCCTAAAAGTATTTCTGGTGCTCTATACCATAATGTTACTATTTCATGTGTGTATGTACGAACAGGAACACCAAATGTTCTGGCTAAACCAAAATCTGCCAATTTTATATGACCCTCCCGATCTATTAACAGATTCTGTGGTTTTAGATCTCTGTGTAAAATGCAACGAAGATGGCAGAACGAAATTGCTTTCAATAATTGATATAGATAGCTCTGTAAACATAATAGACTAGTCTTTGAACAATTCACACATCTATTTTCAGTCTTAACGTTTGAGAGCAATACCTTTACAAGAGCTTGATCTAATCCTCCTTTAACAGAATCTAATAATTTTTTCAAATCTTGTTGTAAGAATTCGAAAACAAGATAGAGGTGATTGTCACCATCTACTACATCAAATAACTGTACAATATTTGGATGTGTAAGTTCCCTTAATAATGATATTTCTCGAATAGCAGTGGATGGAACACCCTCACTTTCCCTAATACAAATTAATATTACTTCATTACTCATATGGATTAATAACTGATAACAAACTTGAGTACTAAGTTATTCTGTCATTTAAATAAATATATTGTGTGTTTATTTACAGATAGAATCATTAACAAAGACAATATTTAATTTCCATTAAGCCACATGATTCATACATTTGATGAACTTTGATAAAATAAAACAATTAAGTTTAAAAAATAAGCACATAGGGAAAATCCTGTTTGTATATTTGATGAATTAATTAAAAGATTATAAATTAAAAACCAGGCGAGCATAACACAATGGGACAAGCTGAATAATGTGGTGCTACGAAAATTTAATGTAACGTGGCCCCTGCAGATTCAGCTGACCCCAATGTGTAAGTTAGCAGATGTGTTAGCAATGCATAAGAAGCACAAGCTCAATGAATTATATTTATCTTGAAAAGTTATTTACATGGTTAAAGACAAAAACAATTATAGAGAAATGATCCAGTAACCCTAGAAACATGCAAATTATTTAGACATTTATAGAGTAAATAGAATATTAGTTTTCAGAACGATAATATATTAAATACCTAATAAAATATATAATTTTAATATAACAATATTTAAAATGAATGGTATAATGTTATGTAGCATTTAATTGAATAACTATTTTTAAAGATATACAAAATATCTAATATTTGTATCATTAAATTAATGGAAAACTATATAATTTACTTGTTAATAAAGTAAAAAATTAGATACAGTATGATATGAATAGAAATTAATTATATCCATTGAATGTAAAATATACTTATTACACATATACAAGTAACATCATTCAGAAAATAATTACATTTAATTTAAAATTCTATAAAATTATATTATTACATACACAGTCAGAAACTTCTAAGAAAAATATCTTTTTTATATTTCTGTATATACATGTAAACAATAAAGTAATAATAAAGCTGAATCATACTTCATAAAAAATATCGAAAACACATATTTCTACATGTGTAATATATTGTAATATACACTTAAGCATTTTCACTCTAATTCTAATAAGTTTAAATTATTATTAAACGAAATATATGCCCATTTTTTGGTTAATATAAAATATAAACGACACATCACCTAGAATGAACATTCAAAAAATAACAAATTTTTATATATAAGTAACAAACGACGTACGTTTCAAGACGAATTTTTTTAAGTGCCACTAGTTTTCCAGTTAACTTATCTTTCGCTTTGTAAACCACCCCATAAGTTCCTTCCCCAATTTTTTCGATCTTGACGAAGTTGTCCATAACCTCAACGTCACGTTCGACGTTGTCGTTTTGGTTTTGACACTCCGTTGTAGCTGTCAATCTTATATCACCGTCCCGAAATTGTTTCTAACTGCGTGCCGACGAGACGCCGACAATCGATGCCGACGGTTAATAAACAACCTGAGCACCCGTTTGATCAAATTTCTTTGTTTATCAACACCGAAAAACCGCTTGACATGCGCATTTCATAGTAGCCATTTTTATTAAAAGGGTTTAGAATAATCGATTCGAGAAATCGATGGAACTGAACGATTGATCGCTTTATTAAATCATCGACGACGTAACAGGTGAACGAACCCGGTAACATTCAACTGCTTGCTATATTAGGATTATTACAAAACTTATGAAATTTCAAATCGTAAAAAATGTCATTTATTTTTATTATAATGCAATTTAAAATTTTTTTTTATTTTCAGGTGTGTGAGTTACTAGACCGCAAATTTTCATATGATCAAATTTTTAAGTCTCAAATTCTAAAGTTTTCAAATTTCCAAATTAAAAAATTATAAAATTTCCAAATCCTAATGATCAAAATACCAAATTTATTATTTCTCAAATTTTCAAATTTCCAAATTCCTGAAATTCAAAATTTTCAAATCTTAATATTTTCATAAGCCTTAAATTTTTAAGTTCTCAAATTCTATAAAAATTTCCAGATTCTTTTTGAATTTTCAAATTTTAAATTAACTAATAATAATTAACTAATTATTATGTTAGAGCAGTAATTAAGAATAAAAATTGAACAAAACAATGTCACTATGCAATATATTATATGTATTTATTCAAAGAAAAAATGTTACAGAACCATAGAATAATAATATATTCATAATTATAACGTTATTGATACAAAATAACATGTAATATATTGATGTAAAACAATGCAACAAATATTCATAAATATTTCAAATTTTAAAATAGTTAAATGGAATGATCCAGGCGATTTAAAAGCATTACTGGTTCTTACATTCAAAATTGGAACATAAAGTGATTACTATACAGAAACTATCAATAATTTTCAATGAATTATTTAATTAATGCATTTACACTATATTAGGTGTAAATTTAATCTATTTTAAAAGAAATACTTTTGACTATTGCTTAACCGTTTGAAATATATCTGTTTAATAATATGTAGATATTCATTGATTATGCTTATATACATATAGGAATGTATTAATATGTTATGTAGTAAAACACGCATTTATTACATTTGCAATATTTATCTTAATTTATATATCATTTTTATCACTGTAATCAATGTTATTCTTGATATATTTATAGCTCCAATTGGATAAAAATAAAGACAGTGACATACTCTAGTTACAGATTATAATCCTTTAAATCCTTTCTCTAATTTTGAAATTATGTTATTCAATTTATTATTACTTTCTTGGCTTACAGTACATAACATATTATATTTTTCTCAATGTGTTGCATAATATGCACAAAGATGCCGTGAGTTATAGATATGATTTTTACCAAGTGTTTATAATACCTATTTTTTGATAAAGCTAAAAATATATGAAGATTGGAATGTTTGAGTAATGTATCTTTATTAACCCCTTATTGTGTATTATATTGCATGATGGTATCTCTAATTATTTGTATGAATACAATATCGTATATGTTTATGTCATATTCATCAAACTTTCATAAGCAACATTGGTTTTTGATTCATAATTTTATTTGCAAATTTCAGATATTAAATGGGTGCATATAAAATATCATTTCTTTTTACAATAATAAATTAATTGCTTTAGTGGTTTTCATTGTACTGTTACTAAAATCATAATCATTAAAAGAAATAGCTCGAAAATCATATATTGTCCATAGTTTCAAAAAAACATTTTTAGGTAATTAATACAAAATTTTGGGAGTTAATGCACACATATGATTTATAGAATTGATCAATAAATTATCTTAAGAAATTCAAAATTCAGAAGAACATTTCATATGCACCAACTATTGTTTGGTATATCAGAAATGATGTCATATTTTTTCATAGCTTTTGAAAGTCTGCATTAAAGGGGTTAAACTAGATATGGAATAAAATAAAAGAGAAATTATAAATGTAAAGATAGTGATTATATATTATTATTGAATTGATATCAAATATAATGAAAGTTTTAAATAAAAAAAAAGAAGTAATATTGAGATGAAAACGAAAAAGAATACATCTGAAACAAATATAACGAGCCGTGCAATTTCAGTGCACTAAATTCAAATTCTTATTTTATGATATATTTGTAATACGTATTCCAAGCATGAAGTATTATTATGCCCTTTTTGTACTTAAAATTTAAACTAATTGAAAATAACGAGCACTTTATATGTTTTGGAAGTATAACCATTAAAATATTAAATTAATATATGTTGTTCTAAAACATTACTGAATAATTTAAACGATTCTATAGAATTATATTTTAACGTACTTTACATTAAATTTAAATATACAATCTACGAAACCCATACTACAAAACGTAATATAAGTTGCAGGAAGCAAATGATACAAATTACAGGAAGCAAATAATAAATTCAAAATTGGTAACATGGTGATTATAATGTCATTATAATATATATGGCAGTATTATGATAATATCTCAAGATGAAAGATTCTTGTCTTAATTATCACGCCATATCTGAATCTTTTTTTCTGCATTAATATATTTGATTCAATAGCGAAATACTGTTAATCTTTTATAATTCTTCATGAAGTTATTCTTTTTGATTAAAACAATTCGTTTAAAAATAATTTGATGAAGATTTGTTTGATTGAAGTTTAATAGAAGGAATTCTGTTTTAAAAATACATGTACAATATGTACTTTATATTGAAGCATTTTCAAAAAGTACTAATACATTCAGGTTAAATATTGTTAAAATTTAAAATATAGAAAAATTGTTATTGAAGAGAAATTTAATTAATGAATGATCTCATATTTTCTAAACACTTATAACCACTGTTTAGAAATAATGTTTTAGCAAAAAATAATTTTGCTAGTGAAGAATAATGGGTCATATTCAAACAAAATTTCGGCGAATAAAAAAACTAAATTTTGTAAAAACGCGCTTGCGCAAATGTATCTAAGTATTAAACTACAAGGCGCATTGAGGCTTAGTACAATTGTTCTAAATGGATGACTAGAGCACACATTTTAACTATCGTTTGTCTAATGCGTTCTAAAACCTATGACTGTCCACTTTTCAAATGCATTGTATCTTTTTCCTGTTGAGCATTGTAAACTGCAGTGAAAGACAAACAGTTCCTTGAGAATTGTATTATATGCAATGATGTTTGTACTGTGAAATAAAAATTAATTCTTTGGTTCCTAACTAATCAAACGTTTCTAAGCATGAACCAAAATAATTCAAGTCGAGACATTCATCAATATTCCTAGTTATTAGCATTTCTGTAGAAATAAAAATTTTTGGTGTAAAATGTACGAATTATCTCAATAAAAATATTTATGCTAAGAAAAAACAGCTCTTTGATGTGGATTTAATTGATTTCTGTAACGTCTTGCCAAGAAAGCTGCAATCACCTGAAAAAGTGTAAATATTTAATTTACACCAAATCAGTTATTCTTATGTTTTAATTAATAAACTAGTGAATTACATTGAAACCTGTTATACATATAATATGTGAGCGATATAAAAAATGTTTTTATAGATATCAGTATGATAACATATATAGTAGAAATCACAACATGTAAGCACCCACCATCTATTAGAAGGATCATATGAGGTGACAGAGGATATAGCGATGGTGTTAGACTAGAGGAAAGCACTAGGATTAGCTCGTGGATCTTTCTGATTCCTGTACCGCACGGTCAACCAAACACCAACGAACTGTAATGGGTATACAAGTTAACATCTGCTAAGTAACACTATTCAGTGCAACAAAGAAACAGTTGACAGGTGTAATATATAATTTAAGCAGCATTAAATTTTCACATTGCTTTTTAAAAATGAATACGTTTTCTCCTAAAAATAATGCTATAACATATGCTTCAAAATATTTACCTCTGTGAAGCTGAAGAATAATCCTATACTGCCACACAATTTAAAAGCATAATCAATTGTAGATTGTAGTTTCTGCATACATGACGGACATTCACAATCAGTATCAGTAGGATATTGACAGCAAAGTTTCTGAAGTACAAAAACACAAGATTAGAAAAGATAATTTTATACCTGATATGAAAAACCATAGTACAAGTGAATGTTTCATTTCTAAATATTATACTATATGCAAGTATTTGATTTAATACATTGACCAGCAATTTATATATAGCAAACAGGAGAACATTGTTAATAATTTGAAATTTCCTGCATTAATCTGATTTATGTCAAGTTACAATATTATTAATAAATACAGATATAGTAGCTATATGCAGTACTTGTCCAACCAGCTCTTGTTATGAGACAATTAAATAAACACTGATTAAACTTCAGACTAATTGGATTGAAAAGGAAATCTTCAAAAAATGCCATTCTATACCGAAGTATATAGAATGTCTCGAAGTATATCGAATTTATCTCTCACATCTTATCTTTCCACTTGTATTATGATTTTCGATGAATCTTTTATATCCTATATGTACATAAAATGTAAATACACAATGAAATGCACTTACATTTTTGCAAGATACTAGCTCTTTATCATCTAAGACTGCGCTGACAGTATCATTAAATCCACAACAATTGAAAGTAGTCTCAACCTTTTCTTTTAAATCTTGTCCAACACGTCTCCAACCCTAAAATTACAATATTTGGTGTTTTCTATAATGATGTTAATGATGGTAAAATATTATTAAAATTAATATTACCTGTTCTGCTAATTGTTCTTGTTGTTTGGTATTAACAGCAAGACAAGCACAAGCAATGCTAAATTGAATCAAAAACAGAAGGAACAGAATAAGCATATACTGTTAAATAATATTAAGGATCATATTAGAAATGTATTAACATATATAATATTTGTTAAATGTATGTATAATCTTTATTAATTAACATTTTTTAATTCTTGTATTAAAAGACATGTATTACCAAGGCTTATAACAATTTTTGTGATTGATTAATATTAAATTCCATGTCAACTTTAATCCTAATGTTATTATACTTACTGTTCCATGTAGATTTTTATTACATACAAGTTTATAATTTATTAAATACCTGATGTTACAATATAGTAAACAATAAATTTTATAAACATTATTTTAAGAATTCCTGGAATGAATACATAAAAAGTGCATAAATGGATCATGTACTAAGCAGAATTTTAATTCTCAAAAAATTAAATTAATGAATTAAGAGTTGTGTAAAAACTATAATAAATTATAATTTAAATGGAACTATCCACTTGACATTAATATGTTTATTAATTTAACTTATTTTAACCGCTATAATAACATAAAGTTATAAACAGAAATAATATTAATAAAAAAAAACAATATGAAAGTATCAAAATGACATTTTCTATTATTAAATGCATTGTAAATATATAGTTACATAAAAAATATTCTACATTCATACAAAATCATAAAAGGATACAAAGAACAGTAGAACTTGATGGTGTTTGACAGCACCGATGAGGCCAAGTATAGAAATAAGAATTAGTATTACACCACATGCTAAAATTCCTCCAATGATTGGAAGGTTTGTAACTAAAGCCGAAGCTCTTCCATAAACAGCTACCCCGATCAAAATAAACGCAACAACCTGAAATGTTCAGACACACTTTAATATTACTATTTATGATCCAAAAAAAGTATTCAATTTAAATATTATTCTTAAATTTATATTTTTTAATAAATATTAATAGAAAAGTTTCAATTTTATACAAACAATTTAGACTGTCCTATTATAAGGTAATAACTTTTTAAATAAAATAAATTTTCCCATTTTTTCAAATTATTTTAATTTATAGATTATTACTATTCATGACATCACAATATACAAGCCAGATAAGGCAAAATATAATATTTATTTAATGGAGAATATAAAATGTTTTAATAATAAAAGTATGATTAAAGTCAAACGTTTTTGTTCAAAGTGTGCAAGCAGCCCTATTTCCGGAAGTTCAGCTTACAATATAAAGGATGTTTAAGGCCGTCAATGCGTTTTTGGAGCACGTAAAGCCGCCACACATCTTCGTATATGGGCTTTGTCCTCTTTAGTATATTCACTCGTGAGAGTTCGTCGATTTTTTAAATGACGATATTCAGAGAATCTGAATACTTTGCTATAATATCACGAACTAATAAAAAAAACACATATACATTAACTGGTGCAATGAACAAATATATCGCCACCCTTCCTCTGATGGCAGACACTTTGCGACTGCTCGCACTGCAACACGTCGAGTGCATTCGAACTCTCGATTTCTCGTTCGATTCTAACATTGCGCGCGAAAAACAAATTTCACAATTAGATTTATTCGTTTCTTTTTATAAAATCATATTACAATAAATGTTGCTTGTCATATATTCATTCTGTTACTTTAAGTAGAACATATCCACGCATTTAGTTCGCGTTTCGATCATATTCTTACGAAATATATTATATTATCATGAATTAAAATTAAAAAAGCTTATTGCTTTTAAATGAAATTTTTTTAGAAGTAAATTTTTAATAAAATTTCATAACAAGTACATTCTGTTGAAATACAACGTAGAATGTTTCTGGTGCCTCTGTAGAACGTTCAGTTTCCGTCAGGGAAACAAAATAGAGGTATCATAAATGTATCGCGATAACACGTAAAATAGATTAAGTATTCTTCGTGTCAGATTCAAATTAAACATTAGAGATAACCGGGTAAGTATGTATCAGTTTATTTTTCCATAATGTGTAGGATTTTTACAAAATATTTGAATGTTACTAAAACCTTTGTTCCTTGAACGTTCAATATCATAAATTTCAATGTACGTCCGGTAAAGTCGTCTTTCACGAAACTGTTGTGTTAACGTACAGTTAAAAAAAGATTGGAAAGTCTGTTCGGTTACGTCGGAAATTTATCAATGAACAGATTTGTTATAAGTTTTTATCAGACACAATTGTTATAAGTTTAAATACAGTAAGATGTAGAGAAACATGTACAAATTAATTTAATTCTTATGATAAATCACGTAAATAAATTCAATAGTGATTTTATTATTCAATAGAGACATTCAATAAATTTTCTGCTTCATGATTAATAAATTTTCATTTCATTAGTATATTTTATAAGAGATTACATAGATTTTTATTTAATAAGCTGTATTCAATTTGCTGATATGTTAATTAATAAAATGATTTTCAATAAAAATCATTGATAAAAATTTTTAGATAACAATTGTAGTAATTATTATGGAAATTTTCCAATATTTTAATTACAATGAAAAATAATTTAAATGAATTTCCTTCATCTTCATAAATTGAATAATTCAATTAATTTTCTATAATTTTAATATATTGAAAAATTCTTTATCTAAGTGTCATTCGAGAAATGACTATTGTCTATATTGCCTGCATCCAATTAAAAAAGACAGCTGTTTACGCTATTAAGTTCCCAGAATATTTTCATGCATAGACTCTTAACTACCTGATGTTATCAGCTTCTTCTTCAAACTTCAAATTTACAGCTTCGATACTTATATCACAAAACTAATATGCATTACTAAATCTGGAAAACTCTACTTTTATCATTATCAAGCTTTTTTACTTTCCACTAATATTTTTACACCTCGCATTTAATTATACAAAAAGATTAAATATAATTTCTTAAGACAACCCCTGAAAATACGCTGTAAAATATTATTAGCTATATAACTTACATATTCAAGTATTATTGAAGTATTATTTATATAACTATAAATATTAGTCCGATCCTCTGTAATACGATAGAACATTAAAAGACAGCAAATCTGATTTACAGAAACTGGTTTTCATTTATGATACGACGTTTTCCTCATATCAGACATTATATCAGTTTTTTAATTATACACAAAAGACACGTTAAGTTAAGATTCTTATACGTTTAACGACTTAAACACTAAATTCATCAAACGACTTCTTTATCAACGATTTGTATACATTTCGTTTGCTTGTTTCCATTACTCATTTTTCTTGATAAGACTTCTGTGACGAATATATAAGTCTTTTTTACCTCTATGAATAGTTAAAAATATTCATGTTCGTAGCTTTTATCGTTGCATCTCACAGTACGTTATTAAAATTTCATAGTGTCGAGAGAGAACATATCATGCGAATCTTGGTAAATGATGCGAAGATCAGAAGAATGTCAGTGTAGACGATGCTTAAAGTAGAAAGTTGTATATTTTAACATTTCTACTTTTTAATATCCCTCGCCGATGGCTACGTCTCGGCAAGCTCGAGAAAAATATACGATATTTTCAACTGTACTGTTTAAGAAAGAATGATTTAGAATGTTATAAATTATTTGTAGACGTGTAGTAGCAGACGAAAGATTGGGACCATTCTTCTTGAAATTGGACCAAGCGATTCGAGCTTCTTTCAGAAGCTGTACAGACGTAATGAAGGTTATATTTTATATTTTGCTTTCGAGAGGTTGTAATGAACGTTTAAGAAGTGTTTTAATGGAAAAATATAGAAATTTAGAGATTTGGAGATTTGGAGATTTGGAGATTTGGAGATTTGGAGATTTAGAGATTTAGAGATTTAGAGGTTTAGAGATTTAGAGATTCAGAGATTCAGAGATTCAGAGATTCAGAGATTCAGAGATTCAGAGATTCAGAGATTCAGAGATTCAGAGATTCAGAGATTCAGAGATTCAGAGATTCAGAGATTCAGAGATTCAGAGATTCAGAGATTCAGAGATTCAGAGATTCAGAGATTCAGAGATTCAGAGATTCCGAGATTCCGAGATTCAGAGATTCAGAGATTCAGAGATTCAGAGATTCAGAGATTCAGAGATTCAGAGATTCAGAGATTCAGAGATTCAGAGATTCAGAGATTTTGGGTTTTTGAGATTTTGAGATTTTGAGATTTTGAGATTTTGAGATTTTAAGATTTTGAGATTTTGAGATTTAGAAGTTTAGAAGTTTAGAAGTTTAGAAATTTAGTAATCTAGTAATCTAGTAATCTAGTAATCTAGTAATCTAGTAACTTAGCAGTCTAGTAATTTAGTAACTTAGTAATTAAGTAATTTAGTTATTCAGAAGATAAGAAGTGTAAAAATATAGAATAAAAGAAACATTAACAAATAAAATATTTGATCTTCCAATTTTTCATATATACAAATTTACAATTTTCAATTTTTCATACTTTTATAAATTAGAAACTAGAAATTTTTTAAATTTCCACACATATGAATTTTCCAATTTTTTAATTTACATATAAAACACTGAAATTTTGGAAATAACTTCAAATTTTTCAATATTCAATTTTCAAAATTGCCGTATCACTTTCGAACGTTTAGCAGTGTAATAAATTGATCTTCACATCTTCTCAAGAAAGTTCAAATCATTTAAAACAATTATTTCCTCTTAATGTGTCTATTTTTACAGGTTCTGTGTGCATATTCATTACCTCATTTTACATGCACATAAAATACACTAAACAGTAATTAGTTTGTTTCCACTTACAGCCAACATAATTAACGCTTCTTTCGCTGGTATATCGAATTTCAAGGTTAAAAAGACAAGACATTTTTCCATAGTCATAATTTAAACATACAGCTTTATTTTCGCTCATCTGCATGAAAGGAATGGTGCTGATAGATTTATGTATACATCGGCGTGAAAATAATTAAATCATATTCAAGGTCGTTTAAGATGTTAGATAGCTGTACACAATTCCGCCCGTATGTTCTATATTCGCCATCCACGAGAACTTCATAAACTAACAATTAAAATCGCTGAATAGCATAGTTCATAAAGAGCGAAAATTTCGACAATATACATATTGTATAAGAGACCTTGCATCACCTTGACCTTGACATACAACATAAGTCACTTTTATGATCTCATAAGTGACCTTTTTTGATAATTTATTGTTACTGTTTATTAAAAAATTATTGGCAGAGGAAGATTAAATTTACTGTAATTTATGAAAGAATATTCTGCACTTGAAATATTGCTATGTTTTAGTACTGAAACAACTGAAATATTAGTCTACTAATGCAACTAAAAATTAGTTAACTCGATTTGTATCATGCAGTGTTTAAATTACTATGCTTAATACATAATTGTTTTTAATATGTAGTATTTAAATTACTAAACTAAATTGACTAAATAAAGGTAGAATTAACTGAAACTCTTGGAATGTATGAAAAAATTGTCTCAAAAATGATTGTAAATTCTCGCATTTATTATTCACAGTTTTGTAATCTAGCTAAATAAATAAAATTAAAAGAAAGACATGTTAGAATGTTAGAAGAAAAATTGTAATTTTAATTTTTGGATAAAAAATGCGTTTAAATTGTTCCAAACATGACTCCATAACCTTTACATCCTTTTTGGCGCCAAATTCAAAAAGTGATTCCAGTAGAAGGATTCGAATTGACAAATTTGTAATAATTATTAATAATTTTAATTTTACTATTTCTCCTTGATGTTTTTCTCTGACCCAGAGTCTTTCCATCAATTTGTATTAACTCTAATATTTGTATTAAGGTATTCGGCGAATGAAGTAGCTTTTATTAATTTTTATTCGACTCTTCGGCACCTTTATTCCTGCTCAACTTTTTCCTTCTGATTTTAGTCAGCCGTTAAGTGGGGATCTGATTGTGAAAGAAGATCAACTGATAAAGTGATATATAAAATGTAGTACATCGTGATCAAACTTCCATTCCGTCTATAATGTGTTAGAAAGAGGCACGAAGAACTCTGACGCGGAACCGATTTTCTTTTTGGTGGCATTGTCGTGTCTCATCGTTATCTCTGTAAGTAATAGCTGCAATTATTATCCAATAAATTTTGATCAATTACTCACTTATCGCAAAACAACATTTTCTACTTATGCATAAAATAATCATTCGCATAGAATCATACAACTGTTTTGTAACGTGTTGATGTCTACAAAAGAACATGTGAGTGAATTATAGAACCTTGTACTAACTGTTCCAAATAATATTATATTTTATATGGAAACTGCAGTTTGTTAGTAGGATAATTCCCTTATGGTGCAGTAAATAATCCTTGCTATTTATTACAAAGATAAAATATGAAATCACTTAAATCTTACTGGATTTGAGTCTCATAGTAGTTTAGTTGTATTTACATAGGTGTAAATACAAAGTAAATATAGTTGTAAATAGTAAGTAAAGCTAATTAAGAATAGTGTTTGAAAATGGTGAACTTTGGCAACTGTTAAAAATTGTAATATTGATGTTGCCAAACAATATTCATTCATCTACAAATATCTTAATGACTTTGAAATAAAAATATCATTAACTTTATCTGCATCTGATTTGTGGATTTTAAATGAAAGTTGCAGATTTGGAAAAATAGTTGAAAGTTTGCAAATTGTTAACGATGCGAGTAGCATTGGTAGGCAAATTTAATGAAAGTTTAACTAAAAATGAGGGTCAGTATATTTATTACAAGTAGTGCAATACCAATATGAACATCCATCACGCAATAAAAATTATTAGTCAAAATAAAAGGACAAAAAAATACAAGAAAGTATATTTAAATTATAAATTCAATAGAATACTTGTAATTGGTTAATATAGATAATTATTGATAACTAAATAAAAAAGTGGTTAAAAAATTTTATTTTTAATTTTATCTTGTAAACTATCAAATTTTTTTGAGCGTGTTTTTAAATTTAAATTTTTGAACTCAAAATTTGAAAACATTTTATTTTCCACCATACCCTAAATTAAATTTTGTGTATTAAATTGCTTTTGAGCCACCTCACAATTGTCAATTTAAATACAATATTTTAAATATGCATTATGATTTAGAGACGAATTAAGTATAATAAAAAAATAGAATATTTTAAAAAAGAATGAATAATAACTATTGTATTATAGGATGAAGTAAGTTCATATGACAGTAGATATTAATTTTTGCAATTATTCCAGTCCGTGGAAGAAGAAATAAAAAAGATGGACAAATCGCGCATCAAATATTGGCCACAATTCTTAGCCGCATTTACAGGTAAGATACAACTATTATTTCTCCCTTTATGTACGAGTAATTAATAAATAACATTCAAATGCTGATTGCAATCTAGTAACATTGAAGCGAAAAAATGTCCAGAAATGGTACTGTAAACTTTTTTCAAAAACGGTCTGAAAAAATAAAAACATTACGTTAAGTTAATGAGAAAATATACTAACAATTTTTGGTAAAATTAGGCTTCAATAAACCTTCAAATTTTAAATATTTTTATATTTATTAATATGCACTTTTCGTACTGTATCTAATTATTAAATATGTACAAAAATTTTGTACATCGGTTTTAAGCACAAAAATATTAAAATGTACATCCAAACTAATTAAACAAAAAATTAATTAAGAAAACCTGCTGCATTATTAATTTTGACAATTTATATTTTTAAATTTGAGAATTTATTAATAATAAATAAAGTTAATTATCGTAATTATTAACAAAATTAATTAGACAATTGGGTAATAAAATATTTAAAATAGTATATAATAATTCTGAAACACTACTGTATTAATTTTGACACTTTACATTTTTAAATTTGAGAATTTATTAACAATATATAAAAATAATGATCAAAAGGGATTTCAGTGAGCTTGAAATATACTGTCAAAAGTAATTTCCGTTACATGGAAACCGGTAATTAGTAAAGTTACACGATTAACTTTGCTCATATATGCATACAACGCACTTCGTACTTACTTTCTAAGGCCATAAGCTTCAATCAAAACGTTGTGCGTACATGTGCTTGTATCGACACAAATTCTATATCTCAACGTGACAACTACTCTTATATATGTACTACATCCTCCTTTTTATGTAATATTCCTTATGTAATACATTCAAGCATGTACGTATTATCGTTATCTGTATGCATCACATGTACTTATCTAAATGTGACTATAAACTATTTATGGCGGAATATGTTAATTACAATTCCACTTAAATCTTTTACGAATATATTTGATGTTTTTTATCTTCCATTTTCTTGTTTTACTGTAATTACATTTCTAAATTATAATATGCATAACATGTATACCTCCTTACATATTTAAAATATTACAACACAATTAGGTAAATTTAAGAAAAGATAAAGTGATAAAAATATGCGAAAATAGAAATGAAAGATAATATTACAAAATTATGAAATACAAAAAGGTAAAAATTACTGTTGACACTCTTACCTATTCAAAACACTAATTTACTAAAGCAAAATCGTCATTGATAAATAGTATTATTTATTTCGATTGATGGATTTACACATAAGATACGAAATATTAATACCATCTTATTAATAAAACGTAACGTAAACATAACGTGACTCTAACTAATAAAATGTAAATAGATCCAAAACAAGTAGTACAATATTTCTCAACTCATCGTTCAACATCACTTAATCCTTCAGACTTTACTCGAACCATTATCTCTGTTTTCGTATACAGCCACCTTGTCAATGACAATCGCCGGCTGCCACATCGGTTGGACATCGCCCATGTTGCCCATATTAAAATCCCCGGACTCTCCCTTGCCATTAACCTCGGACGATGCTTCCTGGATGGTTTCGTTAGTCCTCCTAGGCTGTATCCCCGGCACCGTGATGGCAGCGTTCATAGTAAAATGGTTCGGTCGCAAAATGAGTCTGCTGATATCGGGCGTACCGTTCGCGATCAGCTGGATTCTAATCATCATTGCTTGGAATCCTTACATCCTCTACATCGCAAGATTCATCGGAGGCATCGGTTCCGGTATAGCGTATGTCCTGTCTCCCATGTACATCGGCGAAATCGCGGACAAAGAGATCAGAGGATCCCTGGGTTCCTTTATCAAACTAATGGTGACGTTCGGGGAGCTGTACGCCCATGCGATCGGTCCGTACGTGTCGTACGAGGTGTTAGCTTATAGCTGCGCCATAATTCCGGCGATCTTCCTCCTAACGTTCAGTTTCATGCCGGAGTCTCCTTACTATCTGCTAATGAAGAACCGCGACCAGGAGGCTATACACAGCTTGAAGAGTCTGAAGAGATACGCGACGCAGGATCAGCTGGAGGAGGATCTGGAGCAAATGCAGAAGACCATGATCCGCGATCTGAGCGACAAAGGACATTTCTGGGACCTCTTCAATACTCCGGGTAACCGGAAAGCTGTATTGATCAGCTTCGGCCTTCAAGTGGTGCTGCAATTCAGCGGTTTAGCTGCTGTGGAATCGTACACCCAAGAGATCCTCGAGGAAGCCGACACGGGCTTATCTGCCGCAACAGCTGTGATCGTCCTGAGCGCTCTTCAGCTTGTCGCCGGTGTGGGAGCGTCCGTTTTGGTCGATAAATGGGGTAGAAAACCGCTGCTCCTGATCACGACCTTGCTAGCCGGATTGTCACTGACCGCAGCCGGAGCGTTTTATTTCCTGAAACTCAAGATGTTGGTGGACATGAGCGATTTCGGTTGGATTCTTCATGCCTCTATTATATTTTACGAGCTTATTATAGCGTTAGGTTTAAATCCATTGGCGTATATGATGCTCGGGGAATTATTCCCGACGAACGTGAAAGGAGTTGCGGTGTCCTTGGCGAATTTGTGGGGAAGTCTGCTGGCATTCATCGTTGCGAAGATGTATCAGGTCATCTCCGATTCCTGGGGAGTTTACACTTCCTTCGGGTGGTTCGTGATTAGCTGCTTCCTTGGAATCGCCTTTATCGCATTCGTGGTGCCGGAAACGAAAGGTAAATCGTTATTCGAGATACAAGAGAAATTGAACTGCAAGAAGAAGAAGAAGAAGAAGGATAAAGATTCGAAACAGATAAGTAAGAATGTTCAAATAATTACTGTCGCTTAACCAGTTAACCGCGGAATTTAGTTTTAAACAAACGATAAATTTCCATTATAAATTTTATGACAGATATTTTTGCTCGATAAACATTAACTTTTTGTTAATATCGATTGAAGTGAAATCAAATTTTAGATGAATATGTTGAATGCAGTTAACTGGTTAAATGTGTCTATCGCATGAACGGTCTTAAAACATAAAAACTTTCGTAAGTATTTACGAATATTTAAAAGTACTTACATTAACTTCTGTACCTACGAAAGTTAAACTGTTCACTGCATCGCATTTATTTACAATATTTACATATATTTAAAAGGAAATAGCGAGCTATCGATTCGACAGAAATTCGTTCTAAAATCTTGTTCACTAAATTTCTACTTGTGTTACAAAAATTAGAGTATTAGGTTCGAATTGATTTTTGTATCGAGAGCTTCTGTTTTTCGATCGAACAGATAATTTAAAGGTCAATTTACACCAAAACACAGTGAAGTCTCGATATAAGTGAAAATGAAGTAGACGACATATGCGAAGAAATTATCATAACGAAGAAAACCCTTCAAAACACCAGAAAATATGGTGGTCGAGAAATGCAACGCGATTTAGGTTCGGATCTATGGCAATATTAATGCAATAATGAAATACTTTTATTTTTGATTTTATTATTATCAAATTTTTACTCATAGATTTTTAAGATTTTTCTGATTAAGATGAAACTAACCACAGTATAATTTGGACTTTCTTTACTAATTAATTTTGTTTATTTTCAGTCTTTTTTTATATAATTTTTGCCCACATATTTGTCACATTTTCTTAATTAAAATAAGACCAAACAAGACATAATTTAGAACATTTGTGCAATAACTTATTACAGTAAAATTCGTTATAAACGTTTGGAGTTACAAGTAAATATATTTCGAGTTACGTCGTGCTCGATTTCACTTTGATCAGGAAAATGTTGCAAATATGTTAGTACAAGTTTCATAACAGAAAATGGTTATTCTTGCATTAAGATCGTCTCATGGATATATTACTGTTTGTTACGTTCAGTTGTTCGGACATTTTACTTCCCTCTATGTTAGGCATCGATCAATACAGGAACTACACGATATAAGCGAAAGACTCGAACGATTCACTTATATCGAGACATTACTGCATATACTCCCTTTACGTGTCCATTCTTGTACGTATATATTTGCATTTTCAATTTACGACACGTTATTTACAGTGTAAATTGAACTTTAATTTCTGAAAAAGAGCTATGTATCTCTGCTCTGTTAACTTAGGTTAGTGTTTATTTTTAGAGGAGGGCCCTTATATTCCATTTATGGAAATCTGCTTCGGTTGAGCACACAAAATCGTTAAATACTTTTGATTAAGATTTAATAACAACAAACAAGTCTTTTTTATGAATTACCCTCTACACGGGTGACAATAAATTATCAGCGCTTATTTGATAATTTTCAAATAATTTTTAAAATATTATTCACAGGAATAGTCTTAATCAATATTAACGGCAGTCGAAGCAGATACAACGAAAGAGTGCGAATTTCTGTATTTGACAGTTTCTCGAAACTGCTTTGATATTTCGGAGAAATTGTTAGAAATTACGCGATATTTAATGTGTGAGCTAATTAGGGCCCCATTCGTGTAAAGAGCAAACTCGCATGACCATCTTCTTTCCCTTTTAGGCAGGGTTAAACGTTGAGACTGATAGATTATAACTAATCGTATTTATTTATCGCCAAAACGTTACGGAACTGGGAAAAGTTGTCGATTTAATTTCATTGATGGATTATGTTTTCGTGGGTTACTACGGAGATAACGTATAAATCGCGTCTTGATATTTATTGGGGAGGTTTAAATATAATTCAGTGATACGAAAATGTAAACATTAACGAATTTAAGAAAATGATTAAACGAGATTTTGTTTTCGAATGTAATATCGTCATGATAACGGTTCTGAATTTCAGAAGAAGATAGAAATTTTTTCGTTAAACAAGCTTGTGATTAATTATTTCTTGTAAGTGATGGAGTTATCGAATGATCCGCAGAAAAATTTGCGAATTCGAAAAATGATTAATTTACGACAAAATTGATTAACTTATAAATATTGCAAGTTTTGAAATTGACTGGTTATAATTACAAATGCAAGAATTTATAAATTTACAAATCAATGTTCAAATTTAGGAATTTTTATAGTAGAACCCACTTATTTGGAATAATTCAATTTTTCAATTTGAACTTCATAATGCAACATTAATTCACAATTTCTTTCATCCTCATTCGATCATATTAACGCTAGATTTGTGGACGATGATTGATATTGAAACTAAAGAATAAAAATAAATAAATAATGTACGATATGTAACTTATACAATGATTCAACGAAGGATAACTTACGTTTTGGCATAAGCTTCATTATTTAAAATAAGAACCATCATTTAGTGACACTACATTTAATTCCATAAATCTATTGTTAAAATCATGATACTATTATTCCAACGACAAACAAAGTGGCAAAATTACTCCATCAAGATAATGAATAGTTCGACGACTTTAAATTCTTTTCCGACGACTGATTTGGCGATTAGGTCCAACTTTTTATCCCTTTGAGGCAGGGTGCAAGATCATCAACTACAACGATTACGATTAAACGTTATCAAAGCGCGTCGCGTATTAAAACGCGAGTGTGAATAAAAAACGCGCACAATGGCCCTGATGCAACAAGGATATAGATGAGCACCGTAGCATGACTAACTTTATTTATTCCCTTTTAGGCAGGGTGAAACGTATTACTATAAGAATAGCTTCGGCGCAGAATATAATCGGCCCGATATAATTACATATTTGTTACTATTAACACCGTTATCGATCCACACGAAACTTTGTATATCACGTTAGCATGCATACAATAAGTTGTTGTCAAACGTAGTGAGGCTCCTGGGACTCGACCTGCAATTTGTCCAAACGCTACTGGCCACTATTTTGGGTCTTCAAACTTGAAATTTTGAGGGTAGACTCGTGAGACACTATAAATTTGTTGTATAGATTTTGGCGGCGATCTGACAGGGACCTGTTGTCGTCGATCGTCGTCGAATCGATAAAAAACCATGTTTTGGTATCTTCGATAATTATTGACACATAGAATCTGGAAACACGTTAAAAACTCTATAACTTATCCTTGACGACAATACTTGGTCGTCATTGACGTGTTTGTCGTGAAATCAACAATAATTGTTTGGTGTCGTTTTCGATAGTTTCAGACATGTCTAATCGTTTGGAACGACTTTAAAATCTCGGCACCTCATTCTTGATCTACCTACAATACAGTAGGTAGTCGAAATTTGAAATACACGTTCGAATTCGCGTGAGGCGCCTGGAGACTCACTAGTTGTATACCGTATCGTAACCGATTAACAATAACGTTATATTAATAGCCAATCTATATATTATCGTCCATTTGACGAACAAAAGTTTCGATTACGTACTTGTTATCGATCATGCATGTAACGTGTTTGTATGATGTTGTGGAACAGAATGTACTTATTGTAAAATGTTTTAACTCTAATTGCATGACTCTCTACAAGTCCCTTTTAGGCAGGGTGCAAGACTCGAAATGTATTTCATATAGATTTCTACAATGTAGAAGTTTGCAATTTACGTTGACAATAAAATTGTTTACGTGAAAACTGAATTATTTTTATTTTATTTTTAAATGGATACATTTTATTCTGTATTATATAGCACTTTAATATTCTATGTATTCATGCAACTTTATTTGTTTTTCTTTTTGTAAGTAAAACACGGTAGGTATATGTACATTCTTTTGTTGTTGTTATTGAATATGTATAAAAATAGTATGATAAAAAATGATGCATATGTAAATCGTAGACCAACCTTTATAATGCAAATGCAGTGGTACAAGTCAACGATTGATGCGCCACAAGTTTTATGGTTCTCCCACTTTTCATCAATTTTATTTAATGCATTTCAGTATTTTATGCAATATTAAAATAATAGGATTACGTTGCGTTTTTATACGTGTCAAAGGCAATATATTAACTACAATCATTATGTACACAGTAGAATGCAATATTAATATAATATGACTATGTGAGAATTGTGGAAATATGTGAATTCAGAAATTTATAAATTATAAATTTTGCAAGTTTCAATGTTTGAAAGTAAATTTGGAAATGTAGAAATTCGACAATTTTAAATTTTGTAAGTTTAAGGATTTGAAAATTAGGCAATTTAACAGTATAGAAATTTTTCATTTTACAAGTTTGAACATTTGTTTCAACTTTCAACATAAATATCTAGAGATTAAGAAATTTATATACTTAGAACGTTAATATTTTGATAATTGTTTTAATTTATTAAAGATGCAGGGTGTTTGGCATATAGTGTAGATCCCTGAAATGGGGGGTAGCTGACGTGATTCTGAATAAGATTTCCCTTTGCAGAAATAGGATTTGAAGCTTCGACTTTGAATTATTGAGGAAAAACACGGAGCAATCACAGCGCGAGGGTTACGCATGTGCAGATGCGAGAGCGATAACTTCGGATAACGCGTAGTTATCCAACGCGTGGTAATCTAACGCGTAGTAATGCAATATGTGGTAATCCAATGCGTAGTAATCCAACGCGTAGTAACCCATTGTGTGGATATCCAACGCGTAGTAATCGAGCACGTGGATATTCAACGCGTAGTAATGCACCGCGTAGTAATGCACCGCGTAGTAATGCAACGCGCGGTAATTCTACTTGTAGGAATCTAACGCGTGGTAATCTAACGCGTAGCAAAACCAGCGCGTAGTAATCCAACGCGTAATAATCCAGCGCGTGGTAATCTAATGCGTAGCAATCAGAGCGCGAGGATTACGCGCGCTCCGCCACTAGGTTCGACGCTGCACTCGCGTCTGCGCATGCGTAGTCCTCGTGCTCTGATTGATCCGCGATTTTCCTTAATAATTCAAAAACGAAGCTTCAAATCCCATTTCTGCAAAGGGAAATCTTATTCAGAATCACGTCAGCTATCCCCTTCCCCATTTCCTACACTAATTGTGAGACATCCTGTATATGTAGTATTATAATACTACTAAGGTGCACCATGTTAAAGCGTTTATAGCAGCAAAAGGATTAAGAACAAGAATCGAGAGAAATTACAATAAAGCACGAAGCTTAAAAAGTAAAATTATGAACGTTTCTCTCAATCTCTCATAAAACCTAATTTTAAGTTGCATTTGCATTAA